TATATATATATATATATATATATATATATATATATATATATATATATATATCCTACCCCTTAAGCGAGGTGGGCCCGCGGGGGGAGGTCGTGTTCTGCTGCGCGCTGGAATCGGGCCGAACTTTTGATTTGGCCTGGTGGATAAGGGCGATCCAGGGCGTGGCAGTGTGCAGAGCGGTGCGCGTACCGAATTGTTCACAGCGCGCCAAAGATCGAAAGAGCACGCCCACAAGGCCGCGCGGCGGCGGGCGTCGATAGGAGGGAATATCTCGGAGCGCCCGTCGTCGGATCGAGTTTTATTTTTTCCTTTTGTTTTTCAGTTGCTTTTCTTTTCTTTTTGTTTCGCTTGCTTTTGTTTTTCTTTTTTTTTTGTTTCGCTCGCTTTTGTTTGCGCGTTTGCCACGTCGTTTCTCTTTTTTTTCCTTTTCTCTTTTGTTTTTCAGTCGCTCACGACGTCGTTTTCTCCTTTCTCTTTTGTTTTTCGGTCGCTCGCAGCGTCGTTTTCTTTTCCTTTTTGCTTGCTTTTCTTTTTCTTTTTTCATTTCTTTTTGTTTTGTTTTCTTTTCTTTTTTGCTCGCTTTTCCGCGTCGTTTCTTTTCATTTTGTTTTCCTTTTTGCTTGCTTTTCTTTTTCTTTTTTCTTTTTTTTTCTTTTTTGCTCGCTTTTCCGCGTCGTTTTCTTTTCCTTTTTTCATTTTTTTTTTTTTTGCTCGCTTTTCCGCGTCGTTTTCTTTTCCTTTTTTAATTTCTTTTTGTCTTCTTTGCGTGGCGAAAACGAAAAAGAAAAGACAGCCCCCCCCCACCCACCCACGCACACACACACACACACACTATATATATATAAGTAAGTATTCGAAGTTCGGTTGCAGTGGTCGGGTTGGGGTTTGAACCCACGTATAGATTTTGAAATACTGAATTGCTCATTGAGATAACCATTGAGGCGGACTGGGTTCCTGTATGTTTTAGGGGACTGCTTTCTTTTGAACTGTATCCGCATCACGCTGCTGGCACATCAGGATGTGCCTATGTGTCGAAAGCTAAGACCACCAGTCCCCCAGCTGCCGAACCCCTCCAGTCCCTGTGAGTTACGACCGGGTTCTACGGAGGGGCGGCGACCGTTCGTCACCGGCGGGTCCAATCCCGCCATTTGCAAGCGGTAACTTTGACAATTTTTGTAGCTCACAAGATTTCATCAAATCGTCTGAAAATTTGAGTATCTATAGATTAGGTCATGATATTTTAATAAAAAATATCAGAAAAAATAAAAACAATCATTTGTACCGTGAAATAAACGCCGCGCCGATTCGTTTTTTTTCACGAAGTCAATTTTTGTGGCCCGCCCGGTCCAATCCCGCCATTTGCAAGCGGTAACTTTGGCGATTTTTGTAGCTCACAAGAATTCATCAAATCTCATGAAAATGTGTGGATCCGTAGACTAAAAGGTGATCTTTCAAAGAAAAATATCAGAAACAATTAAAAAAATTATTTTGACCGTGAAATAAGCGCTGCGCCGATCCGTTTTTTTTCGCGAAGTCAATTTTCATGGCCCGCCCGGTCCAATCCCGCCATTTGCAAGCGGTAACTTTGGGGATTTTTGTAGCTCAGAAAAAATCATCAAATCGCCTGAAAATTTGTGGTCTGTAGATTAAGTCGTGATCTTTCAAGGAAAAATATCAGAAAAAATTAAAAAAAAAAAATTTTGACAGTGAAATAAGCGCCGCGCCGATTCGTTTTTTTTTCACAAATTCATTTTTCAAAGCCCGTCCGGTTTTCCGTTTTGTACTACCGGTACCCGTCGTGAAACGCCGCTACCGGTACCCCCGAGGTTTTTTACGCTGGGGGGACTGGTCATCGATCCTTGATCATAAAAAAAGCTTGTTCTTGATGAATATAATCGAAACGATTCAGGAAATCTTGTTCAAACGTCGGAAGATCAGTCTAAACGTAGGTGTTGAACCAATGATGCGCAACCCCTCCCAGCCTGGCGGGAATGTTGATTCTTGCTTCATCATTGTCGTACTGTTGCGCGCGGAGCGTGTCCAACCACGCTCCCGCGAGATGATGTGAAGGATCAAAGAGGTAGAGATCGGGCGGGGCCACAGGTGCCCGTGCTCGTGGAGCGGGGGCCTCAGGCTATTGGGGCTGGTTGGGGTTTTGCTGATTGGCATTCATATTGATCGCCAGTCGAGCAACCGACCTACTTCTTCTTGTTATAGTCGCTTCGCGACACGTTTCGCGGTCTGGGTCGTCCTCTGTTAGCCAGATCATTCTACACTTACTACCTTCTTGTTATGTCTGTGGGCTTGCCACGTATCGCTCCAATACCAACCTCACGCCCGACGCGACTTCCTGATTGGAGTAGGATGGGGGCCTGAAAATGCGAAAAGGGGGTGTGCCAAGGATTTTAGGAAAGTGGGGGTGGAGTCCCAGGTCGGAACTGAGATCTTCCGGTGGCAAGTTTAGAGACAATGGTGCAAGATAGTACGCGAAGACCGTATCTGGGATTACTGTCTATGCCAGTCGCGTCGCTGTGGTCGGCTTCGTGGGTTGTAGTGACGATCGCGCGGTTCGACCAGTTGTCGACGCAGCTCGACTTCGGTTCGGGTTCACCGAGCAATTTCTGAAGCTCGATATGCATGGTGCCGTTGGTACTTTTCGCGCAGTGTGCGGGGCCAATAGCGGGTTATGGAATTCCACGGCACCACTGTGAGCTGATGATATGGAAGGAGGTGAAAGAGAGGGAAACTGGTGGTAATAACGACGAAGCCGGGGGATATGTAATATTGCGTGTTTAAGTATCCAGGTAGTCGGGGCCCCTAGGATCGTTAGTTACGGCCCAGTGGAAGTCC